TCTCAGAAACTCTTAGAGATATAATTTAAGAGCCACCAAATCCTATAATTGGTTACTGCCAAGACACAGAAGCAGGACTCTCTCCTGAGAAGGCCATGCCCGCACCTCCATGTGTCTTATCCATTCCCGGAACATCTCTCTAATAAACCTCAAGGCTGTGTTAAACTTTCTTCCTAATAAACTTCAAACTCTGCTTCGTTCCGGCCTCTCCTGAAATCCTTTTTCTGCAGCAAAATCAAGAATCCCCACGTCACTGGAGTTCTCCGAGGAGAACTCTTCGGCTGCTATGGCAGGCAATACACAGGGAGTCCAGTCTCCAGCCCATGTCACATTGCTGTTGACAGGTCGAGGGAACTGAATGCTGCTGTGCTCGATCTAGTAGAAGAATCTGGAGCTCAGGGAATGACCTAGAAAGAAGAAGAGGAAGAAGATGAAAGAAGGCAGCGGGAGAGGTTAGAGTTAGTGTAGCAGAAATGGCCAGCCATGGTGACACATACCTTTAGTACCAGCACTTGGGAGGCAGAAGCAGGTAGAGCTCTGTGAATTTGAGGTCAGTGTGGGCTGCATAGTGAGTTCTAGGCCAGCCATAGCTATACAGTGAGATCCTGTCTTAAAAAGAAAAAATTAGCGGTGGTGGCGCATGCCTTTCATCCCAGCACTGGGGGGAGGCGGGGCTGGCGCAGGGCAGTGGCAGGTGGATCTCTGTGAGTTCGAGGCCAGCCTGGATTACAGAGTAAGTTCCAGGACAGGTTCCAAAGCTACACAGAGAAACTCTGTCTCAAAAAGAAAACAAAAACAAAAATGAATAGAAATGGATAAGAGAGGAGTTGGAGAGATGGATTGATGGCTAAGAGCACTTGTTGCCCTTGTAGAAGACCTGGGTTTTGTCTCAGTACCCACATGGAGTCTCATAATGATCCAGAATTTCAGTTCCAGGGTATTGATGCCTTCATCTGACATCCACAGCACACACATGGTACACATTCATAGATACAGGCAAAACACCCAAACATAGTAAAATAAAATAATCTAAAGAAGAAAAAAAGATAAAGAAACAGATAGGAGGCCATCTGAATGATGTTTAATATTCAACTTTAAATTGTTTTCTCCTAAGCCCCTGGAAAAGTCTACAGCAAGCATGCTATATATGTGAATGGTTCTCATAAAATCCTAATAATGAGATGCCATTTATCAGCTATTTGTAAGGCCTGGGTGTCGTGTTAACATGTATAGGTATACTATTTATGCTACAGTAACTTAGGAAGGCATATGTTGTACCTTTCCTAGGTAACTAGGTTGAGTCTCACATATAGCCAGTACAGCACAGTCAAAACATTAAGCCAGACCCAGGCTCTTTTCTTAACACCACACTGTTTGCCCACAGCCTCCCTGGGCCATTGTTGCGGGATATTTGTACAATTCGTGAAGATATATTGCTGTGATTGTGTAATAAAAAGCTGAACGGCCAATAGCTAGGCAGGAGGAATAGGTGAGACTTCCAGGGAATGAAAGGAAGAGGAGGAGGAGGAATTGAAGTGCTCAGGAGATGCAGAACAAGCAGGACATGCAGGAGGAGAGGTCACAGCCACGAGCTACGTAGCTGCACATAGATGAATAGAAATGAGTTAAGTTATAAGAGCTAGTTAGAAATAAGCCTAACCTAAAGCCAAGCTTTCGTAATTAATAATGCTCTGAGCCATTATTTGGGAGCTGGCCGGTGAGACAGAGAAAGACTCGTCTGTCACAGGCCATCCTTCTAGGGCTGTTTTCTAGACTCTTACCTAAAGGTCACTGAGGAAAGCCCCTCCTCTATGGTGCTCATCTCAGTGACATGACTGTAACCAACAATAGCCTTCCATGTTGAATCAGATCTGTTACTCCATAGTTTCCAACTGCTTTCGGGGTCACCCAGAACAAACCTAATCTTTTCATATAACAGCCTCTCTTATTTGAAGTTATGGTGTTGAAGGGTACCGGAATATTCTGCCCCAAATACATCCCCTTTGGCAAATATATTATTTTGAGCTACAGGCAACTTGGAAAAAAAAAAGGAGTAGACAGAGGAGTGGCTATAAAAACAGGTCCTTTTGTAAAGGACATTTTCATTTAATGACCAGTCACTTCTCTAAACAATCAGTTCACTGTACTGGGCTGAAGATGTATATGCTGGAATTCAAGGCCCCTTTTTGAGAATTATCATTCCCTGGCTATACACCACTACTGTATGAAATAAATGTCTTCTTCTTGTTCCTCTGTCTTTCTTTACAGGGTCTGTTCCAATAAAGCACTTAATGTTAGAGTAAAACTAAAAGCCCATTAAGAAAAAAAATCCATCTGACCAAAGGAATAGAACCTCTGGCCTGGATGGAGATCTAACAGTTCAGTTGGACAGGGTCATTCCCCCGGCCAAGGACTCCTAGGAAAGCAGACTCACGTTAAGCTATGCTAAAGACATAGAGGTAATGATTTTTCCTTTAGTGAGATACTGTACTCTTCCTTCCCAGAATTCCTCCTCCCCCAGCACAGTCCCTACAGATCACCATGAGGGTCTGCTGGGTCTGCCCACCTTTCTGAGGCTAGAGTCAGAAAGGCACAGCTTTTAACTTTCCCCTCCCTCCCTCTGTGATGCTGGCCAGAAGGAACCTAAGCATGCTTTTCCTGATATTTGGGGCTTCTTTTCTCTTTTCTCTAAGGTCCTCTTTCCCACCATGTGGTTGACTGCTGCCACCCCGTTGACTTCCATTCTGGTAAGCCAACAGCATGGCTTTTTTTCTTCCTCTTCTCCATCCTCCTCCTCCTCCTCCAGGCCACTGCTGAGATGGACACTTTGTCTGCCCTGGAGTTTTTTCTTTTAAACTCTAATAAAATTATCTTTGACCTTCCACTTTAGTCTATTCTTTTATAAACAAGACTCTGAACCCCAAGAGGGGACCACAGTTTCTGCTGTATCATCAGGATACTTGAAAAACGGTTTCTCGTCCTCTGTAGTCAAAAGCACCTGTTTCCAGGTGGACAATGTTCCTTTCCCCTTTGTGCCCCACACAGTTTGGTGGATACAAAGTAACAGCTCGCTCAAAAGGGCGCACATCTAATTTCCCTCCCCTCCCCTCCCCCCTCTCTGTTTGGGGGCAGCTATTAGTTTCTTTGTTTTGAGACAGGAGCTGACTTGTATTGGACGATGACCGAAAACGTCTGACCTCCCCGGCTCCCACCTCCATCTGCGGACTGCTGAGGTTACAGGCTTGGGCCAACGCAATGTTTGGGGTTTTCTTTGCTTCCTTGTGGTGCTGGGGATGGAACCCAGGGCTTTGGCAGACTGACAATCATTCTACCAATGGAGCCATGTCCCCAGTATTCATTATTTATGTATTTTTACAAAACCCAAGGATGACCAGCATGGAGTTGGTGTTATTCTCTCTTACATGGACTTTACATAATTGATAAACTTCACACCTGTTGGGGTGTTCTGTGTAGCATGGGTCAGTTGAAGAAAAAAGGCACACCAAGATGAAATTTAAGGCCTATGTGGCAGCAGAAAGGTCCAGCCTCTCTGATGGACAGAACCCCCAAACAGCCGTACAAAGGTGTATTTATTGATTGTTACACAAAGTTGTTTTTTGGGTAAAGTATTTCCTTACACCAAAGTCCCTAATCTAATCTAATCTATATGTCTCACTAAAGGAGAGCATCACATGCCCTCATGACCCCAGTCCTTTATTGTGTATCGTTTGCAGTACACAATAATACAAGAGCTTTAGGTGTGCCGAGGTGTCTTTTTGGACCAAGGTCATGCAAAGGCTGCAACACCCCTTCAGTAAAACAAGTCTGCAAACCATGGAAAACAATCACTGTTTTTCACAAAGATTCTGTACTGTTTACCGCAATGATTCTTCAAGGCCAAAGTACTTCTAGAAAACAACTATTCGTTCTAATGTTTACCCTGGACACCGCAACTCTGCCAATTTCCTACAACACGCACCCATGATACAATAATTTTCTTGCACCGAAGACACTGCAAATGTTGGGGTGTTGTATGGGGAAGTAGCAGTGGGGAAGACAAGTGCTTTTTTTAGGAGGAACTGCAGACTGTGCAGTTCTGTGGGATTAAATATTAAATATGCTCTAATCCTACATTCACCATTTCTAGACATTGAAAAGGCAGAGCAGGCACACTGTGACTTTAAGATAATGAATTAACAGAAAGGCAGAGAGTGGAGAGAAGTTTTAAGGACTGTGCAAGTCTGCTCGCAGAGAGTGCTTCAAGGTGGGCTGCCGATGCGCTCTTCAGAGGACTGTAGTCGTGATATCTTTTAGAGCCATATCCCCAAGTTCAACTCCTGTACCACTATTTGGCCAGGGGTGAGCTCTCGAAGCTCTCCGAGTCTTCACATGCAAATCGTGGGGCTTACAGGATTCAGGGACGTTTCTGGAACAGGTTCATTGGCAGCGACCATGCACGTCCTAGCGTCTTTCGGCTAGGACAGGGAGGGAGGAGGAAACAGGCAAGTGGGCGTGCGAAGGGGGGTACACCATAGCGGTGGGGGGTGGGGTGCGGAAGGTGGATCGTAAGATCCGGTTAGCCACCCGCGGGCTCCCTGGGAATTAGCAAAATCTTCACCGAGCGCTGTCTTCCGAGTGCCAGCCAGGATTCTGGCGGCTTGCTCGGGATGGTTTCTGCGGCCCCACCAGCTAGGCTGAGGGGCGTTCCCCGTTTCCCTTTCCCCGCCTCCGTCCTCCCCGGGATCCGCCCAGAGGAGGCGGGGCTTCAATGAGGGGCGGTGGCTCGCGCTCCCTCTTTCCTCCCGTCTCCGTCCTCTCGAGGGTCCGCCCACGTGGAGGCGTGGCTTCAGCAAGGCGTGGCTTCGGCGAGGCTGGGGTTGGGCAGCGCTCCCTCTTGTTCCTCTCCAGCCTCCATCCTCTCGGGGCCCCGCCCACAGGGGCGTGGCTCCAGCGAGGGGGGCGGTGGCCGCGGCGCTGACAGCAGCTCCCCGCCCCCGTGGCCCGCCACGTCCCGCACGTAGCGCCCCGGCCGCGGCACAGAGTGGCAGACTGGCGCCCGGGGCTCCGGCTCCTCCGGCGGGGCTCGGGATGAGGCTGGCGAGGCTGCTCCAAGGCGGCCGGGGCGTCAGGCCGCGCTGCGCGGTCCCCAGTGCTAGCCGCAGTCTGGCCTCCGGCTCGGCCTCGGGCTCCGGGCCGGAGTCCGAGCGCGGCGTTCCGGGCCAGGTGGACTTCTACGCGCGCTTCTCGCCGTCGCCGCTCTCCATGAAGCAGTTCCTGGACTTCGGTGAGGGCGGCGGGGCCTTGTGCACGGGACCCCGTCCTCCCAGGCGCACCCCTCCTCCCTCTTGTCGCCTCCTCTGTGTCTTAGGTGCTTCCTTCCTCCCCGGAGGGTGCGGGCGCTGGCAGGCCAGGCACCTAACCGGGGCTTGAGGCCAGAGTGTGCGAGAAAAACAAAGCAGGGGGCCCGCGGGCTGCAGCCTTCCGCGCACGTGCGCAGGTGCGCGCTTGGGACCCGGTGTCTTCCGGGGAGCCTTGCTCCGGTTCAAGGCCAGAGCGCACACTGCTTCATGGGTGGCGTTCTGCAGAGGCGAGATCAGTGCCAGCACAGCGATGATGATCTAGAGTGGCGTGATGGCAGGGAAACAAGTTGCTACTGGCCCAGTTCTTTCCTCGGCAGTGTTTCCACCGTGAGCAAGTTCGTTTCATCAGCAGTCAGCCACAAGCACGTGTAAAGTGCATGATCTTGTCTGTGTGAAACAGATTGCAGAAGGAACTGCAGAATGAGTCCTTGGACTTCTCATCAGGAGTAACGGGGGCATGCTTAATATAAATTCTAACATTGGAATCCAAAAGTTCTGTAGTAGAAAAAGTTATCTCTGTGTCATGTTGTCAGGTTATAACATGGTTGGCTGGCCTAAGAGATTAAGTGGCGGCTGGATGCTTTATCTTAAAATTGTGGTTTGCAGTGACAGGTGGTTTTCTTGTATTTCTTTTTTAAGGGAGTACACAAGGCCCCGTTTTTTGCTTTTGTTTTTAAATGCCTGTGCTGTGGTGCAGTGATGTTCACCTTGTTCATGGATATGCTATTAAACTTTTGCAAGATGTTTTCCTTAACAATACTCCTACTGTTGATAAGATAGCTTCTGCTAAGGTTTCATCTGCAAGATTGAATTAGTGAGGGGATCGCTGAAATAAGACTTTAGTTCAAGTGAAGTTGTTTGCCAAGGGATGGCCGCTCATCAACTATTCTGCCGAACATCTGGATGCAAGAGTGGAGAAGGGGGCAGGTGAATTTCCCAGGAATCAGACCATTGAGTAGGTTCTACCTGGTGGTTGCTAACAGGGTGCTGGTGGCTTTGCCTCCTTTTGCCTGAAAACCTTGTCTGCACTGACTCTATTCTAGTGAATTGTGTTTGTGTCTAGTCAATTTTGACATACCTGGGTCAAAATTTACCCCGAGTCAGGGATCAGAATGTCTAAAGGCTAGCAGCAGTGAGTCATATAGAATGGGCTTTTCTCACCTCTTCTCAGGCCCCCAGCCTTAGCAGACACATGCAATTTATTTTAATCCTAAAATAGATAGTAAGTGCAAAGTATAACAAAGTACCTACGTTGTTGTACCGAACCACTGGAATAGCAGGAATTGGAAAGTCCTTCTGGAGTCAGGGTTACTTTGTAACAAGTTAGCTCAACCTTGCCTGGGTCTGGCTTTGCTTTCCTGTCCCTTCCTGCACTATGGAAATTCTACCGTCTGGTCGTGCCAAGGGACTCCCTCCCCTTTCTCCTTGCTTCCTGGCTCCTGAAAGCTTGTGTCTTCTACTTACTGCCTTCTCCGCTGTGCTTGGTTTCAGGATCAGTAAATGCTTGTGAAAAGACCTCATTTATGTTTCTGCGACAAGAGCTGCCTGTTAGATTGGCAAATATAATGAAAGAAATAGGCCTCCTTCCAGACAATCTTCTCAGGACCCCGTCCGTACAGTTGGTACAAAGTTGGTAAGAGTCCCTTCTTGTGTTTACAGTTTCAGTGGACTTGTGGACTTTGTTCAAGGTTAAAGAAAACACTTTTATGTATGTATGTATGTATGTATGTATGTATGTATGTATGTATGTATGTATTTATTGAGGCAGGGTCTCATATAGCTCTGCCTGGCCTGGAACTCTCTATGTAGACTAGGATGGCCTCAAATTCAGAGAGGTCCACTTGTCTCTGTTTTCCAAGTGTTGTAGATTAATATTTATCTGAGATAGGGTCCCACTATGTAGTCCTGGATGGTCTGGAACTTTATGTAGATCAGGCTGGTCTCAAAAATAAAAAAGATCTGCTTGATTTTTTCCTCCCATGTGCTGGGATTAAAGGTTTGTACCACCATGCCCTTTATTTTGTTTTTTATGTAAATGTGTAAGTATAGATGTACCACACATGTGCAGGTGCCTGTACAGGCCAGAAGAGGGTACAAGATCCCCAGGAACTACAGTTGTGAGCTGCCTGTTGTGTGTGTGGTGGGAACCTAGTCTGAGTCCTCTGCTAGAGTGGCAAGTGTTCCTAACTATTGGGCCACCTCTCTTGCCCTGCACATGCTCTTCAGTAGAATCTTAAGTCAATCGAGGCACTCCTCTGCTCTGTGTGTCTTGTCTTCTCAACACTGTACTTGATTAAAATTCCTTGGTTTTGAAGAAAACCAATCAGGCCTTCACAGAAATACTGTTACTAAGTTTAAGATTTATGGTACAGTCTCTGCTGGAGTGTTATTTTCTAAAGAGAAAGGTATCTACCATTTACTGATGGCTGTATACTTACATACATTTCTCTTTATTCTTTTAACCATGCGTAGTAGGTGTGGTTCAGTCCTTTTACTGGTGAGGAAGCTAAGACACTCTACAGTCCTTTGGGTGTGAGCACAGACAGCAGGGGAGCCCTGGGTTTCAAGCCTGGATTTGTCTGCTGTTGCTATATCATGGTGTCTTCAGAATGATGACATGAATTCAGGGCTGCATGTATTTTATTATAAAGTGAGTTTATTTTGGTGAAGTATAACTTTTTCTAAATTATAAAGACTGGAGGATGGAGATGTAGTGTAGTTGATACAGTGATTGCTGGCATGCACTAGGTCCTGGCCTCGACCCCCATCACTGCATAAACCAGAGGAAGTAGTACACAGTTGTATTCCCAGCACTCTTGGGAAGTGGAGGCAGAAGGATCAGAAGTTCAAGGTCAAGCTTGGTTACACAGCAAGTTCTAGGCCAGACTCATCTAAGTGAGATCCTGTTTCAAACAACAAAAATCACAAAAGTTACAACTCTTATTCTGCTTTTTATTAACATCTGTATTAGTGAGTTCAGTGTGATGATGTAGTGTGTGCACTGACACTTCCTCCCTTTTAAAAATAAGTAGAAGTTATTGTAATTATATAGGTACTACAATTTCCCCAAAATGATAATAAAAGGTTTTTAAATTTAAGTTTTTTTATGTGTATGGGTGTTTTGCCTAGATGTACATCTGTGCACCAAAGGTGTGCATGGGGCGTGTGGAGGCCAGAAGAGGGCATCGGATCCCCTGGACCTGGAATTACAGATGGTTGTGAGCTGCGATGTGGGTGCTGAAAACTGAACCCAGGTCCTTTGGAAGAGCAGGCAGTTCTCTTGACTACTGAAGCCATTTCTCTAGCCTAATAATAGAAGTTTTAAGGGTATATATATATTTTTTTTATGTGGCCACCTGTCCGAATCTTTTATTTATTTTGAGACAGTCTTCCTGTCTTCATCTCCCTAGTGCTAGGATTATAGGCATGTATCACCACAGCCTACTTGTTAATTTTAAAGTGTTATTAACTTTGTTTTAAATTATATTTTAAACATTCTGTGTGTGTGTGTGAGAGAGAGAGAGAGAGAGAGACAGAGACTGAGACAGAGACAGACAGAGAGAGAGCACAAGAGCGAGAGTGAACGCGAGTGCACACATGAACCCATGTGCTCAAATTCCTGTGGAGGTCAGAGAGCAACTTGCAAGAGTCAGTTCTCTCCTTCCCATGTGGGTCTCAGGTATCAAACTTTTTGTTAGGCTGGTGCCTTTACCCACTGAGCCATCTTCTGGTCCTTGGTCCTTGTTGTTATTTTGGAACACTGCCCTGGGCAGCCTGGAGCTCACTGTGCTGCTGTGAATATTGCTCTGTATGCTGTGAATGTGTTGCTCTGATTGGTTAATAAATAAAGTGCTGATTGGCCAGTAGCCAGGCTGGAAGTATAGTATAGGCGAGACAAGCGGAGAAGAGAATTCTGGGAAGAGGAAGGCTGAGTCAGGAGTCGCCAGCCAGACACAAAGGAAGCAAGGTGTGAAGGCAGAGCTGAGAAAAAGCACCAAGCCATGTGGCTAAACATAAATAAGAATTATGGGTTAATTTAAGTGTAAGATCTAGCTAGCAAGAAGCCTGAGCCATTAGGCCAAACAGTTTTAATTAATATAAGTGTCTGTGTGTTTATTTGTGTCTGAGAGGCTGCAGGCCCTGGTGGGACTGGAGAAAACTCCAGCTGCAAATGGCACCCAACAGCTCGAGTTTCCACCTCTCAGAAGAGGGGAAGTGCTGGGGATGTCTTTCTGTATGCTGTGAATGTGTTGCTCTGATTGATTGATAAATAAAACGCTGATTGGCAGTAGCCAGGCAGGAAGTATAGTATAGGTGGGATAAGCAGAGAGGAGAATTCTGGGAACAGGAAGGCTGAGTCAGGAGATGCTGCCAGCTGCCACCGCCATGAGAGAAGCATGATGTAAAGATACTGGTAAGCCACGAGCTATGTGGCAAGGTATAGATTTATAGAAATGGGTTAATTTAAGATGTAAGAACTAGATAGCAAGAAGCCTGCCATGGCCATAGAGTTTATAAGTAATATAAGCCTCTGTGTGTTTACTTGGGTCTGAGCGGCTGCAGGAGCCGGGTGGACACAAAAAAACTTTAGTTACACTGCACAGACCAGGCTGACATTGAACTTGCAGAGATTCTCTTGCCTCTACCTCCTTGGAACTGGGATTACAGGTGTTTGCTGCCATGTCCAAATAAAAGCCGATTTCTGTTGTTTTTTTGAGTCAGGGTCACTGTGTATTCCTAGCTAGCCTGAAACTCACTATGTAGACCAGGATGACCTTGAACTCACAGAGGTCCCTCCTGCCTCTGCCTCCCCAGTGCTGGCATTAAAATCATAAGCTGCCATGCCAGGAGGAAAAATATTAAGCAAAATTTTTGTTTGTATGAATGGCCAGAGTCAAGTATTAAGTGGGGGAAAAAAAGTAACTGCAAAACATTTCCCCATTATGATCAATGGAGATGCTACTTTTCTATTTGTAGATATTATAGTTCTTTCCTCAGTACCCACACTGGGGGCTTCTCAATCACTTGTAACTCCAGCTGCAAGGAATCCGACACCTTCTGGACTCTGAGGACCTCTGTACTCACATGTGCACATATTCCCCAACATATGTACACATAATTAAAAATAAGTCATTATCAAAAGGAGATAAACAAGGGCCTGGGAAACTGGCTTAAAAGTGTTCACTGCTCTTCCAGAGGACCAAGGTCAGGCCATGCATAACTGCCTGTAACTCCAGCTCTGGGGATTTGTCAAGCTCTTGTGGCCTCTGAAGGAACACAAACACACACACACACACACACACACACACACACACAGGAAATAAATAGTAAATAAGCAGAAGAATGACTGCCTCGTGTTGGTCCCCGGAGGTTGGCTAGTTCATGTAGTTAAGTGAGAAAAGTAGCTTAGAGAGTATTGTGGGATACACAGGAGAAAATTTAATCTTCTGAGGAAGCCTTTCCCACTCCTGACATGAAAACTAGCTTATCCTGCTTTTTGAAATCTGGTTTTGCCTCACAAGGGGGAGAGATTTAAATACCTCCTAAAGACAAGACTTTTCCTTGCCAACACAGAGAACTTTCAGGGCTACGGCAGGGTGGCAGCTATGAGAACCACTGGGCTTTTGACTGCAGCAAGGCCACTGTCAGGCTGGCTCAGGGATTTCCAGATGTCACAGGTCCCTTCCTTGTCCCATCCCCGCAAAGTTGGGGCAGTGTGAAATGCTTCCAGGCACATTGTGCGGGATTTACACTGTCAACATACCCGAATGGTTGTGGAGGTATTTTCAGCCCTGGCTCTGTGGTGCCCTATGGCCTTTCTCATTTTGTCTTAAATAAGTGCTCTCCTACCTTGAATTGTTGGGTAAATTAAACACTTACATTTTAATGGCTTTTGTGTTTTGTATATGGTAGATTGTAGGCTTTTGGTAAGTACTTGTTGACTGGATCTAAACATTTACAATTAAGGTTTTAAAACACAAACACTTACACCTAAGTTAGATTCTTAGAGCAAGGTGTACCCCTCATTTTGCTGTGACTAAGACAAACATTTACCCATGATCACAGTTACGAGTGACAGTTCAGTTCTCATGATGTGGTATTTATAATCTAATATGCAGTGGGATATGAAAGATTAAAGAACTTGTAGGGTTTAGAATGTAAATCTTAAACTCCTAACTCAAATCTGAGCTACTGACCTGTGCTTATGTGTGTGTTGAGGGGTATATACTGGGCAAATGCTTTACCACCAAACTACACCCTCCAGTCCTTACCTGTTTGTAGTCAGATTCTTCTTTGGGCCACCAGCTCACAAATAAGGACACTGAGACTTAGTAATTATGAAAGCTTGGTCTTAGCTTGTTTTCAAGTAGCTCTTAGAACTTAAATGAACCCGTTTCTATTGACCTACATGCTGCCATGTAGTGTTGCCTTTTCTCCATACTGTACATCCTGTTCTCCCGCTGTCTCCTTTGAATCCGCATGCCTAGATTCCTCCTCCCAGTCTCTCTCTCTGCCTGGAAGTCCCGCCTACTCTCTTCTGCCTAGCTATTGGCCATTTAGCTCTTTGTTAAACCAATCAGAAGACGCCTTAGGCAGAGACACATCTTTACAGTATAAACAAATATTCGGTAACATCTGCTTTTTAGTTTTTGTTTTTGAGACAGCGTCTTACTATTTAGATCTGTCTGTCCTGGAACTTGCTATGTAGACCAGGTTGGCTTTGAACTCACAGAGATCTATTTGCTTCCCAAGTGCAAAAGGCTACCACACCTGGTCCTTATCTGTGATTTTAATGGTAAAAATGTGTGCACTTTCCCCCCTTTTTTTGTAAAGAGTTATTTGTGTGTGTGTGTGTGTGTGTGTGTGTGTGTCTGTCTGTCTGTCTACATGGTTGTATGCACTGTGTGGATGCACACAGAGAACAGGAGAGGGTATTGGGTCACCTGGAACTGGTGTCACAGTGGTTGTAGGCTCTCCTCTGTGGGTGCTGGGAACTGAACTTACGTTGTCTGAAAGAGCAGAAAGTGTTCTTAACCACTGAGCCATCTCTCCAGCCTGAAGATGTATGCTTTTTACCATGTACCTAGAACTTGGTTTAGATGCTAGTGGGGTAGAAATCCTAGTTCAGGACCGGTCTGTAGCTCAGCTGATAGAGTGCTTGCTCGGCATGCACAAAGCCCAGGTTTGATTCCCCATACCACCTGAAGCAGGGCTTGGTGGTGTATGCCTGGCCTGCATTTTACCCTGTCTCAAAAAACAAGCAAACAAAAAAAGAAAGAAAAAGAAAAAAAAAAGAGAAGAAAAACCCAGCAGTCCTACTTCAACCATAATTTATAGAAGTATTCTAATTTTAAAATTATAAAATATTAAAAATATTCTTTGTGCCAATTTCATACTATGAATAAACTCAGCTCTCTGATTTGTGTTTTAGGTATATCCAGAGTCTTCAGGAGCTGCTTGATTTTAAGGACAAAAGTGCTGAAGATGCTAAAACTATTTATGAGTAAGTGTAATTGTGTGATCCTATTCTGAATACAAGTTTTATGTGTATATACATTTTGTTTTTTTTCATTTTTATCTTTTTGGTTTTTTTAAGACAGGGTTTCTCTGTGCAGCCCTTACTGTTCTGGAACTTGCTCTGTAGACCAGGCTGGCCTTGAACTCACAGATCCACTTGTGTTTGCCCAGGTTTTATACCCTTTAAATAGCATTTAAAGTGTTGATGTGGTTAGCTCAGTTTGCCATTGGCCCACTTTAAGGAAACTGATTAATATTGAGGCTTCTTTTTGTTTGTTTGTTTTTGTTTTTTTAGTTTTTTTGTTTGTTTGTTTGTTTTGTTTTGTTTTGTTTTGTTTTTTTGAGACAGGGTTTCTCTTTGTAGTTTTGGTGCCTGTCCTGGATCTCACTCTGTAGACCAGGCTGGCCTCGAACTCACAGAGATCTGCCTGGCTACACCTCCTGAGTGCTGGGATTAAAGGCTATAAAAAGCAAGGCTTCTTTTATAGCATAGTTACCATATCCATTTATAGCAGCCCACACAGATACTGAAGACAAGAAGACAGTATAGACCACAGAGCTGGCCTGGATGTAAAACACGCTCCAGGTCCCTTTTACAGTAAGAAGAGGCAATTCGGATGTGATGATCAGTGAAAGTCTAGATGTGACCTGCATGCCACCCGTCTGTTAATCTGAGGAGGGCGTGCCAGTTCCAAAGGGACAGCCACCCTCTGCTCCCTCTGCTCATTGACGTGTGCAGATGCCACCAGGATAACTGGAAATTTTCTGTTTTTGAAGAAAAGCTTACAAGTCTGTATTTTCTATGTAAGATCTCTAATTTTGAAACATGACAACTGCTTATGCTTCTTTTGTTATCTAGAAGGGCTATTAAAAACAGCTCCGGGTTTCTGTGGTCTGTGCTTTACAAGATCATGTAACTCCTGGGCCCACCTTCACAGCCCTCACGCCAGAGTTGATAAACCCAGCTAGTTACTTGGCAGTGATCTGAATATTATTAGAGTGTAAAGACCATTGTCCTCGGACTGTGTCGTACTTTATTTTTGGACCGTCTTTTAAAAGGCTGGCACTGCTGCAGGTTTTCAACGTGTTTTTGGTTTGAAAGTAATATTCAGCAGAAGATCACTCTCGAGGTGAGTGACACCATTTAGTGTTTAGAACAGCTCTACTGAGATAGGGTATTTATGCACAAATAGGGTTGTGGCTTGGGGGCTTGTAGCTAGTTATCGGTGGGACAGGAACAAAGCAAAAGGTAAATGATAGAATATTCCGTCAATGCTACCACTACTGTTCTTTTTTATGGTTGGCGGGTGTGTGTGTGTGGGGGCAGAGGTTTCAAGACAGGGTTTCTCTGTGTTGTAGCCCTGGCTGTCCTAGAACTCACTTTGTAGACCAGAGTAGCCTCAAACTCACAGAGATCCGCCTGCCTCTGTCTCCTGAGTGCTGGGATTAAAGGTGTGCACCACCACCACCTGGCCTATAGTCTTCAAAAAAATTTTTTTTAAAGTTTAAAAAAAGTTTGTGTGTGCATGTTTATGCATAGGCAGGTTCCTGTGCATGTGTGTGGAGGCCAGAGGACAACCTCAGGTGTCAGCATCTAGAACACTTGCCATCTGCCTATTTGAAATGGGGTCTCATAGTGGGTACCTATTCTATCTATGACCTTGAGGTACCAGCCCCTAGGGTGTGGTCTCTCAGCCAGCTTAAGACCTGAGGGCCAGGTGTGCAGGCCCTTTCGCTTTTCTCCCTCGTGGGCTTGGATGGTGGGGACTGACTGTGAGATCGGCCTTCCAGGACTCTGCAATGGATTTGCCTTATCCTGTTTAGTGAGTTGTTCTCAATATGATATTTTTAATAAATAGTTCCTTTATCAGTAATCTGTGGGTTATCTGAAGTATCTGGCACCTACTGTGGCTTAGGGAGTCAATTAGGCTAGCTTGGTTGGCCAGTGAACTCCAGGAATCCTTCTTTTTCTCCAGGACTGGGATTACAGATGTGTGCTACCATGCTTGGCATTTTCACACGAGTGTGTGTGGACTGAACTCAGGTCATTGTGCTTGTGCAACAAGCACTTTACCAACTGAGCTGTCTCCCAAGACCAGTATTGTATTCTGAGACAGGGTCTTATGTGTGGCCCAGGCTTTCTTGGAAATCATTGTGTAGCCCAGCCTGGCCTCTAGTCCACAGTGATTTGCCTGCTTCAGTCTCTGCCTGGAATTGCAGCTGAATTGCTGTGTAGCCAGAGTTTCCCTGTCCTGCAGCCACTCTCAAATAATCACTCAGAGGCTTAAATTTAATTACAAATGCTCGGCCAATAGCTCAGGCTTATTACTAATTAGCTCTTACATTTCAAGTTAACCCATATTCCTTGTTTATTCTCTGACACTTGGCAGTACCTTTATTAGTATGGTGTGTTCATCTCCTGCTCCCTCTGTGTCTGTCTGGCATTTCCTCTGACTCTACCTTCCTCATCCCCTCATTCTCAGTTTGGCTTTCCTGCTTAACTTTATTCTGTTCAGCTATTGGCCAATCAGCTTGTTTATTGAACCAATCATAGTGACATATATTCACACAGTGTACAGAAAGATTATTTCATAGCTTTTCCCCCTTTTTTTCTATCAAGTAAGAATTACAATTATAATATTCAGTCTGTTTGTATTTGGCGAAATTTATCCATCCTGTTTTGGTGAGTCCAAAGTTTTATATCTAATTTACCCTTTCATCATTAATAAGAAAAATTATAACTATGACTATCTAGTCTTCAACTCATTCAAAGACTCCAGAATGATGAATTGTTACCTAATGACAGGGACATCAGGCTGCCTGGACAGTCACCCAAAGTTTCTCTGCAATGTTGGGGCATCCATCTTCAGCCTACAGGCCTAGCATATCTGACAGATGTTTTGGGAAGCAGGGAAATTTGAAGGACTGTCCAGCCTTGTCTTGACAAAATTTGGCAGTCACCTTTCTCATGTCCTGCTGGTCCAGTTTGGACAGTAACTGTGAGCAATTGAGGCAAGGGCAATTTCTTTGTCCATATGGCTAGCTTTTGCCATTAAAAACAAAACAAAACAAAACAAAACTCCATATGGAGGTTCTTTGGTGCCCATCATCTTCTCTGGAGTACATTGGTGCTGCCAGGAGCAGACGTGTCTCACTGTCATGAAAAGTCTAAGTTATTAAAACATTTTAAATGTCATATTCTATAGGTCTTTGAAGTGTTTGAAGATTACCTGTCTACCTGAAATATTTTTTGTATACTTAGAAAACCTAACTAACATGACTATAAGTTTGACTGTTATAGATGACTATTAATCCATATTTCTTAATTATATATTACATTTTAATTGAGCTGCATAAATGTAATACCTTAAACAAGAGTAAAAATATACATACAGTGTAACAAAATTAACTTTAAATTTGTATCAATAAACTAAAATCCATACCAATGTAAAATGTTTTGAGATTAACTGTTGTTTTTTGGATTAAAATAGAATCAATAATCTACCCTTTTCCCCCATCATTTCTATATCATATTCCTCTTTCTTCTTTTAGAAAGCAATTGACTATGACCTATAACAATTTCTAACCAACACCCCTTAAATGAAAACAAACATTTATAACCAATATTTTGGGAACGTGGACATAGTTTTCTAGACTACTTCCTGTTGATTGATGGGCGCTGGTAATCTTTGAGGGACCCTGAGAAAAGTCAGGATAATTGTTAAGTCTTGGCTGGACTATTCCATGAACCTGGATCATCTCAGTCAGCAGCCTTGAAGCTGTTTTGGATGCTGGATCACTTGGACTGTTTTATTGATGTCTGGTCCTCTTGTTCTGAAAATATATAAATTTTTAGAGGTAACATACCTATCTATATAAACTGTGTCATACACAAGTCAGCCAAAGATGATATTTGTTATGTGTTTGAGCAGGTAAAATATACATCACATGTCTTGTAGTTACTTTAGGTTTATTTTCCCATGTCTGTAGTCAGGATTTCAGGGGGTCTTCCTTGGTCAAACCTGATTTTCCTTAACCTGGAATGAATCCATAGCCTCTCATTTCCTCTCCCCAATGGGATATACCTTTTGACTTAAATTTTGGAGTCAAGATGTTTTTAAAAAATATAGGTTGGTTTAATTTAGTAGCTTTCACAATCAAATGCCTCTCAGCAGTTATCATTCAACCCTTAACAGTCAAAAAATCCAAAGACAAAACGATAAAATATAAAGTGCAGACTCTCTGTGTATTTCCCATCTTTGCATGGCTTACCATTTTTTTTTACTGTATTCCCTTTTTAAGGATTTTACTATTTTTAAATCATTTTTTCAATCTATGAGTGTTTCTACCCTTTCTCTTTTCTCAAGCCTTCACACATTTTTTGAACACACTACTGTGACCCATTCAGAGGCCTTTTTGTCTGAATCTGCCCTTACTGTGTATCTCTAACCCTTTTCTGTGTGCATGAGCAAAAACCCTAAGCCCGCCATGCAGTACACGGCTGGCAGACACCTCTTTGTACCGTGGCCCGTGTGAGACTGCGGGCATGGGCCATACTGCAGCTCAGGTTCAAACGCCACAGCCAGGGGATGAGTCTCTGCAACGTGGCCCACTACTCCAGGCTCTGGCTTTGTATCTAGAACCCTTCTCTTTTTAAAGCTTTCTCAGGCTTTATGTGGATGTACGTGCACCACATTGGAATGCCATATGTAAACAGCGCTTTTTGTCCTGACTGCCTGGTCCGAAATAAACACACAAAAACTTGTATTAATTACAAAATGTACTATACTCTGCTCAACAGTTTTTGTTTTAAAGAGAGAAACAAGCAAGGAGGGGATTATAATTTCCAGTTGTTTGTTGTTTTTGAGGAATTTTTTAAAATTATGTTTTGTCTTAATAGCTTGCTTTTGAAGTTTATTATCAACTAAGAATTCCAAGTGTTTTAAGCAGTGAGAAAATCATTGGAGTAAGTTAAATAGTACTCAAGCTGATGCCTTGGGAAAGCACTCATTTGGAAGTGTGAATCCTAATGGCTAGGTTATGAGATTGGTTTTGTTACATCACAATTAAGACTTCTGTCTTTTGTCTTTTTCCCTAAATTGACAGAAATAAGGAAACAGTATGATTTGAAAATCTCTTTTAATTCAACAATTTTCTTTTTCTCATCCACTTTGTAAATTCAGGGTGGATAAAATCAGAGTTCTTTTTTTTGCTGTTCTATTCCTAGTGGTTTCTTCTCTCTGACTCCAGGGAGGAGATGCACAGCTGATTCTTTTGGCTTACTCATCCTGACTCACTGTGGAGTGTTTCCCTAGAAGCAAGGGTCCTTTTGTTGACAGTGTGTCTTTGGAATGCTGTCCTCTTTAGTGAGCCTCAGATGCTTAGATAACAATGGATAAGGGGAACTCTTAAACTGTTCACAGTAGTGTGGCAGCCGTATGGGTTTTATATTGGAGATCCTTGTACCTTATAGATCTAGTGTATTTTATGACCTGAAATGTATTACACAAGTGTGGAAAAGCCTTCACTGATGCTCCTTTCTCTGAACTAGTGGTTTTTTTTTTTTTTTTTGTTTTTTGTTTTGTTTTGTTTTGTTTTTTTGTAGCTACAACTTGTATCTTAAAGTCACTTGTCAAAATATTTGGATGTTTAGCC